AAAAGGAAGTAGAAGAAAGAACTGGAAGGCAAAGGACATTTATAGAGGTCTAAATACAGGCATGTATATATGTAAATACACTTATGGATAATGATAGGGGAATAGATCTATGTACATATATTTAATTATAAAGTATTATGGCAGCAGGTGGACATTGGGCCTCCCCTCAAGTACTCTCTCAATGCAAGAATACTTTGTTCTAATAACCTAGCATTCCGTGGTGCTCACCTTCCCAACAAGATTTCTGAAGACAAAATGGGTACATAAGCAAACGTGGTGAAGAAAGCCGATGGTTCCCGGCTATCAAAAGATATAGCTTGTTTGGTTTTGGCTTCTGTTTTTCATGCTAATTCTTTTCCCAACTGCCTAGTGATCCTTTGGATGTTTGCTCAGTGTTGAAAAAAGAGCACTAAATAGATATTGGGAAGCTCTGAGCCCACAGAGAGTGATCTTTGTTTATAGGCTGCACTGTAGGATTGTCTGGACCTTTGGGAAGTCCCTACTGTCAACTTTGGGTCTTTTCTCTTACACGGATCAGATTCTATAAAGAAGTTTCTTCCAGTGTCCTGCCTGTAGGATGAGGTGTGGGTACCAGTGTTCTAAGAACCAGTGGGGAAGCATTCTCTGTGGAAACTATCATTTTATCTTCCTGTTTTGGGTATATCACAAATCCACCACTATGTCTGATGTCTCCTACTCCAGAAACCTTGGGTTCCATGGATTCCAGAGAATAAGAACCCAGATGTCTCCTAGACTTGGGAAGGAGTGGTTGGCAATCTGTGTAGGATAGTGGGGGAAAATGTAGAAGTCTAGCAGCTCTTTAAGCAGACCTCCAAAAACACCTCCTGATTTTACCTCCATATTCACAGTCACCACCACCCCACTTCTGGCAATATTCAGTGCTCATGGAGTGAATCAGGCTATGTTTCTGCCCTTGCCTCTGTTGGCTTACTATTCCTCTTTCTCGGGTCTTGTAAATCCATCTGTCCATCTGCTTGTAAAACTTACGTGGTTTTGCCTCCTTTACCATCTTTCTATATATTTATTTGTTTATTTTTAAAAATCACTTTATTGGGGGTCCTTACAGCTCATAACAATCAATTGTATCAAACTCATTTGTACATATGTTGCCATCATCATTTTCTATGCATGTTCTTTCTGTTTGAGCCCTTGGCATGAGCTCCTCTTTTTCTCCTCCTTCCCCCACTATCCCACCCTCGTGACCCCTTGATAAATTATAAAGTATTATTATCTTCCTATCTTACACTAACCACTGTCTCCCTTCACCCATGTTTCTGTTGTACTACCCCTTTGGGGGGGTGGTTATACATCGATCATTGTGATTAGTTCCCCCCTTTCTCTCCCTTCTCTCTCCACCTTCCCCCTACTCTCTTGATATCACTTCTCCCAATTCTGTTCCTGAGGGGTTTATCTGTCCTGGATTCCATATGTCAAGAGCTCTTGTCTGTAACAGTATACAGCTCCAGTCTAGCCAAATTTGTAAGGTAGAGCTGGGGTCATGATACTGGGGGTGAAGAAGCCTCAAGGAACCAGAGGAATATTGTGTGTGTTTTCAGTGCTATACTGCACCCTGACTGACTCTTCCCTTCTTTGTGACCCTTCTCTGAGAGGATGTCCAATTGCCTACAGATGGATTTGGGGCCTCCAGTCCAACCTCCCTTGTTTTGAACCAGATGATTATTCATTTTGGGTCTTCTGATACCTGTTACCTGATCCCGTCGACACCTCATGATCACACAGGCTGGTGTGCTTCTTCCATGTGAGCATGTTGCTTCTCAGCTAGATGGCCCCTTGTTTAACTTCAAGCCTTTAAGAGCCAAGAAGCTATATCTTTTAATAGCCAGGCACCATCAGCTTTCTTCACCACATTTGCTTATGCACCCATTTTGTCTTCAGCGAT